GAAGCCTATGTCGCGATGCATCTGACTTATCCAGCTGCATAACGTCAAACGTAACCCCCGTATTGCTCCCGACGCTGTCTCCGGTCCGGGAACTGAAGCCTGCCTCCTTATTGTCGTATGATGATAAACATCCAAATTAGGTCAGAACCAGTTACGTCCATCTCCGCAGCACGACAGACATAAAAATACGCATCAGCAGCGTAATGCTCTCCATCCATCACGATAGGGTAAAAGTCAGATCTTGGCGAGAGCGAATCGTTCACGGATCCTCTTCCTCCCGCCCCTGATACGTGAGCCTCACACCGGACAGCAGCTGTAGTCAATAGGCGTCGCCCTTTCTCCAGCTCCGCGCGTCGCCTTCGGTAGTACCGCGCTTTGAGGCCGTAGTCTCTTGCGCCGTGCTGTCGGGTTCAGTTCGGCGTCAGGCGGAGACTACATGGTCGCCACTCTGGGATTAATGCAGTGGCACGTTCAACTCGCCGGCATGCCTCAAGCCCTTCAACCGTGCAGGCGCGTTTGAGTCACTGAGTGGGAAGCGTCACAATGTCTTGCCGCGTCACTGGCATGAGCAGTGGCACATGCTCGACCCCGTGGCTCCCTGCGGGAGAAGTGACGTCTGTGTCAGCGTCCGAGACCAGGCGTACATCATCCAGCCGTGGCTCCCAGCGGGAGAAGTGACGTCTGTGTCAGCGTCCGAGACCAGGCGTACATCATCCAGCCGTGGCTCCCAGCGGGAGAAGTGACGTCTGTGTCAGCGTCCGAGACCAGGCGTACATCATCCAGCCGTGGCTCCCAGCGGGAGAAGTGGCGTCTGTGTCAGCGTCCAAGACCAGGCGTACATCACCCAGCCGTCGCAACTCAGAGGTGACAGGACGTAAAGGTCATCAAGGCTTTAATCTACTAGTCTCGCTCGCCGACATCTCTGAAAGAACATGCGCTGTACCGCGATGCAGCGTCAACCCATGCAACGCGTGAAACCACCGATAGTCTTTAAGTTGCCGAAGGGATCACGGAGATAGTCCGATGGAGCCTTGCCTGGGACATGGAACGTCCACACGGAGCGGGTTTCCTGCGGCGGTGCCGGAGTCTGCGGGCCTGAGTACTTGTGCCCGGAGGGGCGGATCCAAGGGGAAGGGGGGACACGGGATCATGGCCCATGCTTGGGCCTCGAGGGGGCCAAGGGGGAGGGGACATGGTGGACCGGAGGATCCCCATAGCTGACCGAACAGACCCAGCTTGTTTACACAAAACGCAACAAAATTGGACGTCTGTGGGCTTCCAGGCGACCAAGAACACCAGCGAGCGGAAGTGAAGGGCCCATGAATAGACAAAAGTTATTAAATTCTTAAGTGTGATGAAGCGCGCGGTATGCGCTGCTCTTGATACCAATAGACCGGCCCTAAAAAGAACAGCGGCGGCGGTCGTGTTTCCTGTCCGACGCTGTCAACAGGCGCGGCGATCTTTTGACATCCCATGAATGCGTGCTGCTCGCGACCCCTCCGTCAACGCTGTTCTGGCTTTGCAATCATTCATCAATAGAGTATCTATTTATATCTAAGAAATCAGCATTGTTCCCTGCTGAGGCACAGTCTGCCTTCCTGGAGTACCGAAATACGCACGCCGAATCCGTTTTCTTTCACACCGATGGATCTGCTCATGATGACCAGGTTGGCGCAGCAGCAGTCGGTCCTGATCTTCGATTCACCGGACGCCTTCCAGGCTTCAGCACGGTGTTCTCTGCGGAAGTATGCGCTATAAAACGAGGGCTGTTACATATCAGAGTCAGACGTATTTCTCAGGCTACGATATGCACAGACTCCAAGGCGTCGCTGCTGGCCCTCAGCGACTCAATGATTTCAACCACCCAGGAGTGTGTGACATCCATAATATAATGCTTTCGCTACGCACCGACCAACATGTGATCTTTCTGTGGATACCGAGACACTATGGCATCGCGGGAAATGTCCCCGCCGACACCCTTGCGAACGAAGGTGTCCGACTACCAACGCCTCTGGAAGTGTCTCTAGCACTAGGTGATGTTCTTCATTTAACTCAAGTCCGTTTTGCTTGATATTTGCAGAATCAATGGGATGTTTCGCATGCTAGCCACATGTATCGAACCAAACTCATACTCCAAACACGGGCGATGTGTCATCAGAACAGGCAGAGAAAAGTGGTTTTGGTGTGTTTGGGATGTGGCCACACTCGTCTCAACCACAGTCATCTATTCAGGTCGCTTTGCACCACGCGTCTGCTAGACTTGTAATGTCCGGCTTACGGTTGAACACTTATTGGTTGAATGCGCTGCTCTTACTCGGGAACGTCGCTATGTCACGAGTTACTTGTTAACACACCGCCTCCCCCACACCCTCTTAACGCTGTTAGGCGACAATGATCCTGCCCTAACCGACCTTGTCCTGGACTTCGTGATTCAATCGCCATTGGGTACGAAGATCTGACGGGACCCGATTCGCCACTTAGCCCCGTGGTAAGTGCAACTTGCCGGGAAAGGCAACGGCCCGGCACCCAACGTAAGCAAGCTTTTACTCACGGGGGTTTTCCCACATATATGCAATAAATTATGATCTTGAATGACTCCTTGTTCACCTTATTTTCCGTATTGCCCAGCCTTTTAAAGCAAGATTGCATATGTGTGGTTTTCCTGTGCTTCTTCTGTCTAAAATGGCCACCGGACTTATTTAAGATGACCCGATTTTTGTGCGGGATTAGTTAGGGAGCCCCGCTTTCCTCTCTTGGCCAATAACGTAAGTTGAAACCACTAAAAAAGCAAACGATTTTCCCCTATTTGCGTTGCCATGACAGAGGAGTGGAACGTGAGTAGGTGGCCGCCTGCGGTAGGCGATTGGGTGTGGGTGTTTGACCGTTCGCTGCATACTAGGCAGTTAACGTGGTTCGTAGTTAGTGGCGGGTTAAATCATGTTCAGTTTTAAGTTGGTCTGCATAGGGCGCAGGAAGAAAGAGCTTTTATAATTTGCAGACTGGTGCGATTTTGCTACTCGCTTCTCATTTCCCGGCTTTGTTTAAAGACGATTCATTCAATGGTCTTACACTTCATTTTTCACATTTCCTTACATCATTTGTCGTATAGCTGGGTGGCAACACAGGCTGCTTGCTAATGGGCATGTAAGTCTTATGGGTGCAGGATATGCGCCCTTGTAGATATCAACACATCATGTTATGGGCTCCTGTTACTCTGGTCTCCTGGTGTTTTTGCCGGAGTGAGATGGCTGTCCCTGAACAGCTTTTTGGCTATTTATAACCACATTTTTCGACTTAAAAGGATATCTTAGTAAGCTTGAATTACCAGCTTTAACTTCACACCCACAAATGACAAATCTAACTTGGTTTAAAAACCGCATCTGCCATTACATTCTTGTATTCCGGATACCAGCAAGTAGCCAGAAATCCAACCACAGGGCGGCTCTGGACGAGTACAAATAAGTCCTTCGGGATAACCGTGATGTCCATCTCTATACAGCCGCTCTCGAAATGTTTACAAATCTGTTCAAGATATGAGCGCAAGCTCAATATTTATGCTCTTGACAAATCAGTCACGAGGACGTGAATCCTTCCGACCAATTGGAAAGTTCCTATGTTCAATCTCCAACTTGAGCTGGAAGGCGTGCGCAAGGCACTGAATAGTGAGACGTTTCCGACGCTAAATCACTATCTTGTTTGCATTTCCACGACGGAGGGGTGGAGCGGTGAGTACGCTGGCCGCCTGTGGGAGGTGGTGTGGTGTGAAGGTGCTTGTCACCGTTCGTTGCATCCTGGGCAGTTAACGCGGTTAGTAGTTAATGGTAGGTTAAATCATGCTCAATTCTGGGTTGGTCCGCTCAGGGCGCAGAAAGTGAGATTTGCTAATTTACAGACCAGCGCCATTTCTGCTACTCGTTTTTCATTCCCCGACATTGCTCAAAGGCGATTCCGTTCGACACACACTGAATTTTTTTTACATTTCCATGTGTTATTTGCCGTATGCCCAGGTGGCAACACAGGCTGTTTGCTATTGGACAGTTAAGTCTGGCGGGTGCAAGATTTATGCTCTTGCAGATATCAGTACATGGCTTATCATGGAAGCAGCAAGTCCCAATCTGTTGTACCCCCTGGTTTCATTTTTGTCCTTAAACAGAAAGGTAAAATGAGTTTTTTAAAGCCGTTTTTGCAGTGTCACAGCAGAGTACAATTTTTTTAATTTTTCCTGGCACAGCCCTGGAATACAAAATTTCCTGGTACACATTATACCAAGGAACATATATTTTTCCAGCACTGAACACATGGCTCATGATGGAAGCAGCCAGTCCTAAGATGCTGCACCTTCTAGTTTGATTTTGTCCATGAGCAGAGCAAAAAAATAGTTTTCCAAAGCTGTTGTGTCTTAGTTGAGTACAAAATATTTCATCTTACCCAGCCATAATTCTGGGATCTAAAACCTCATGTTATACATTATGTCAGGAACCACTTATTTTTCCAATGCTGGCTGAATACTTATGTGCAATCATTGAAGCCATGACATAAGATAGGAAAACCCCTGGAAAAATAAATTAACCAGAGAAATCAGAACCATATGCTGTAAATTCCTACGTACCTGTGCCGCTCAAGAGTATTTGTTGCTAGATGCTTAACTAAGACCTTGCTTAGTTTCACTAGGATATCCTCTTTAAGGAGGGTACAAGTATGGCCTCTGCTTTTGCGCCACTTGCGTTTTCTCTCCTTTGCTTCAGATACATACCCAGCACATGACACATTGTTTGCATTGGAACACTTGTGTACTGTTCTCAGGCCTAGCAGCTCTGCTGGCAGCCATCTGACACCTGGTCAGTGACATCACAGTCAAGATGGCATCGCGACCCAATCCGGCCGCCAAGCTAGCCGAGATGAGCCGACAGCAGGCCCTGATCGAGCAGAAGCGGCGCGAGATCGAGGCCCGCCGACTGGCTGCTGCCGGCGGCGGGCGCGAGCGGCCCGGCTGCCGCCGCCGGCAGGGGTGGACCCTCGGCGGCCAGCGGCTCGCTGGCAGCGGATGGGCCGTCGGTAGCCAGCCTCAGCGCCAGCAGCAGCGCACGGCGCCTCTTCGAGGCACACAAGCAGAGGTGGGCGACGTCATGGGCGGCAACACTGGTGCGAGCGGGGAAGGGGGGGGGGGGGGCGCGGTGTCAGTGGCTGCTGCTCTGCTCCTTGGCCGGGGACAGCGGCAGACTCCGGCATGAACTCGTGTGCGTCATTCTTTTGTGCAGACTGCGCAAACCCATGGCACCCAAGTCGCATTCAGGGAAATGCTCTTTGAAAGATAGCTGCACTCTTGTCAATTTGTTTATCTTTTCATATCTGTTTGGAGCTAGAGATTTATTTTTGTATTCCATAGCTGTGTGGAGCTGTTTTGTTGGAGTTCAAGGTGTGGTTGGCTATCGGTACAGCCATACACAAGCTGTCAAGTGCCTGGTTCGCCGCTGACACTATGGCCGTGCTTCTCTGGTTGTAATTTTCATCGTCATGTGACTGTTACAGCTTCCGCCCAGCGCCTAAGAGGCCTGCCAACACGGAATCGGCCCCTCCAGCTCCCAAGCTCAGTCCTGCAAACGCGTTTGAAAATGACGGCAGCTTTATGGAAATGTTTCGGCAGATGCAAAAAGCCCGTAAGTGTTTCGTTTTTCCTTGAACCGGGAAAGGCATTGGCATCTCTATGGTGTGAGCGCGCGTCATTGCGCAGGAGATACACATCGTCATCATTGCAGACCTTCGCTGGATTTTGTGTGAAATGGCGGCTGGCGCCGCCAGAGCCCTGGCAAGGGGAGCTCAGGTTTGACATGGATCCCCCCTGGAAGTGAAAGCCCCCCCCCTCCCCAATCGCCGGACGTGGCCAGTTTTTCAATGAGGGCATGCGTTTCTTTGTTTTTTCATCTCTAACTGTAACAGAAGCCAGAAGCTTCCGCGAGATCAGTACGGTCTGAATTGTATAGTTACAAAACCAAAGATATAATGCATTACGCGACTTCTGCTATACACATTTAGTAATAATAAGTCGATTATACGATTATGTATTGAAATGGGTAAACGATTGGTATTAACATGGCCAGACCATGTTTGTCTGAAATTTTCAACAGTCAGCTGGAATCAACATGTGATAAAGATTATGTAACGTAGTTTTAAACACGGGCGCTGGCAAATCTTAGCAACAAAAACCTCGACACGAGGCTTTCATCTTCCATAGGAAGCGCGGCGTAGGCTCCACGGCTTACACTAAGCCATGGCCAACGGGCGGGCCTGGACGCTGACTCGTCTGAGAACGAATACGTTTGAACGCCTTAGGGCATCAAATCGTACTTTTAGAAGGCAGTCTGGGCGTGTATTCCACCTGCGCGATTTTTAGATGGATTAGAGTGGACTGACCTTTACAGCACCGAGAAATGGTGCTGGAATCTGGCGTGGGAACTGGAAGAGAAACGGTAGAATGTTTATTCGGGTTACTGTGTTTGCTATGGTGCCCAGAGAGCAACTTGAAAAAAATGGTAAAAAAGATACGCCCAGCCTATTCTTGGACGGCACAACTTTTTCTTATTTTGAAAGACATTGGGAAACGTGATTTCATTACGGTTGTCACGCGCACGCCACCCATCGCCTGGTGTTATCTGCACCGGCCAACGCCGTTCGGTTTTTGCGCAAACTGCAATCCGGCCAGCGCTTTCATGGCTTCCGAGATCCGAGACACAAGGTGGGATCCCATGATCGATTTGGAGGCCCTTAGAGAGACACATTATTTCACATTAGTCCCTGACGCGGGAAGCCCTTGACTCGCGCAGCTCGCCCTGAATCGACGCAGGAACCCCCCTTACGCAACAACGTCCCTTGTCCCCGCAGGTGGTCTGATAATTGGCACAGAGACTCGCAATGAGGCGGGGTGGAGGGCCCACTGTTCGACATTGGGGGTCCTGACTGGCACAGAACCTTTTCATTTTCTCATTGTGAACACTCATCATGATTTAGCACGTTTCCTTTCATTGTCAGAGGACCTCGACCAACTCAACAGGCCTTCTGACATTCGGGGTCCCGTCCCTGTCGCTGTTCAGGAACCTCAAGACTCAGACCGACACGTAGCTCACCATTCGGTGTTGGTTGTCTCTGACCAAAATGGAGGTCTGCGCTGTTCCAGAGGTGTCCAGTTCTCTAAAGTCCTTAAATGGCGGGCCGCGGATTCGCGGCTTCTTGGGAAGAGGGTCCCCAGGGCCATACCGACGCGGAGCCCACTGCGCCGTACTGGTGGCTCCTTACCGACACATAGGCCCTTATCAGCTCACTGTTGGTCCCCGATCGGCGCGAAGGGCCCTCTGACGCTCATTTCAGGGCCCGGGCCCGTCCCGGAACTCGGGCCCCTGAACAAGACCCCGACCAGTCCTTCGTGCCCATAGGGCAATCAATCGGGCCCTTGCTCGTCGGTTCTGGTGGGCTTTGCAGGCATTTTGGGCCTCCTTGAACACTCACTGGCCAACTCGGTGCCTCTTGCCACCACATAGCTCCCTGTCGGGAACTGGGGGGCCCTTACAGACGCTGCGGTCCTGACCTTACAAGTTGCTAAATTGTTAGCTCAAGCTTTGTCCCCGCTTGGGGAATAGGCCCTCAGGCCGGTGTCGACGCAGAATTGGCTGTTTCTTACTGGTGGTGTCTGACCGACATGTAGGCTCTTATCACCTGAGTCCCTGATCAGCGGACAGGGCCCTCTGGCTGGTATTGGAGTAACCGGCCATGCGGGCATGGACCCTTAAATACGACCTCTTGCTGACCTTTCGGGCCCTCAAATCCGGCCCGTAATTATAGTGCTCGTGTCTTCTGTGCCGCCCCTCCCCCCCCCCCCCCCCCCCCTGAATTGCAACGCAACTTGCGGAGCACATTTCTTCACATGCGGCATGCAGTGTGTCATTTCAGGAGCACGCCACTCACACCACTGTTTTCCTGATGTTTCAGTTGTTGTAAGCTTTATACATCACACAAACCGCTAATGCTTTCATTTTTATGAACGTCTGATTGAAGCCCTCTATCTGTTCTTGCCCCCCCCCCCCCCCCCCCCCCCCCCGCCTGCTCAGATCCGCTCATTTGTCATTCGTCGTCGATACGTGCTGATAGCGGCATCACAGTATTCTATTTCTTTCCCTTTAGTCACTCCCGCCGTATTGAGTGGTTATCCGCCGCCCGTTTCCAGCCCTCTCCCCGTGCTGTCCGGCCTGGCTGGTATCTCCAGTTCGCACCTCAGCCGAGTTCCCAGTCCCGGTGTGACGGCGCTGGTGCGCGCCGCCTGCGCCGCTGACACTGGCCGCTCCCGTGTTGCAGACGCGGCCGCGGTACCGCCGACGCCGGCCGATCGTCGCAGCGGCGCCGGCGTCGCGTCGCCGTCCGGCTCCAGTACGTATGGCGCGCCGCGAGCCCACCGGCCGCCGGCCGCCGCCCCGCGCCGGGCGGCTGCCGCGCACTGTGTCTCACCCGCGCGCCAGTCTCGTCTGCAGTTGGCGCTCCGGAGTGGCGGGAGCGGGCGGCGGCGACGGCGACGGCAGCGACGGCCACGGCCACGGCCATGGCGACGGCGACGGCGACGGCGGCTGAGGGCGACGCTGGGCAGCAGCGGCGCACGCAGGCCGAGCCGGTGCACCCCGACAGAGACGGTGAGCGCTGGAGAGCGAGGAGTCGGCGGGGGCGGACGCGTCTCTTAGCCGGCGTGTGGGATGGCTGTGGCAGTCTGGTTTGTTATTGGTTGGTAATGATTTTACGGTGCGTGTTCTTTGTCGCGGGCTGATGATGTCCCTGGTATTATGTAGCGTGTATTGGATTGCTACACACAATGCGTGCACATTTTTTGCTCTGATGGTGCTGTGAAATTGGTACGTGTGGTATTTTCATCAACATCTTGTGTCTATTCGTGGTTTCTTCAGACCGGTTAGTACCATCTGAATGGCCATGCAGCATAAGCTGACTTGTGAAAACCAACATTAGCCTAAAACGGTGTTGGCGTCCGGTGCAGCGAGCAGTGCGTGATGGCCTGACTTAGGCCTAACCCGCCTATGGAGCAGAAGTGTTAAAACGTTACTTTTTTCCTAGTCGGGAGCTGCATTTACTCTCGAGAAATCAGACCTAATAGATTTACGCTAAATGACTGGAATCTCCTCGTGAAAATGTCACCGATATCAACCAAATAGATATCAAATGTCGAAAATATCAACGATATTTTCAAATTGTTCCACACGCGGTTACCCTGGCACGATCCAGGCTCCAGGTCAGGCGCTCCGTTTATGTTATGTTATTCAACATCTGCAACTGCTAAGGTCACGGGCTTCAATCTGGTGGCAACCAGAGCTAATGGGGGGTCCTGGCCTATGGAGCTGAACACATGCTGACCTATACATGCAGGCGAACGTCGAGTGACTATGTGACTGTCGTCGGCCAGCGCTCCGGCACGGGCTCTGTACCGAGCCGTGGCGCTTGTCACCGCGCTCCCCTGTGTGTGTGGAGGAGGGGGCTCCTGTAGAGCGACCTCCGCCCTACGGCCGGGCACCTCCCGCGCTCTGATTTGAACACAGTTGACATGCACGTCTGGCGTGTGTTGAGAGCAGTGACACGTCCTGGCGCCGGCGCGCCCGCTCCCACCCGGGCGTGCTCTGCTCTGACGCGTGGTTGCTGTATTCGGTGTGCTGACCTGTCGGCTGCGATAGACTCGGGCAGCGGCGACGGCGCCGAGCGGAAGAGACGCCGCGGCAGCCGCTGGGGCGCCGAGGAGGACCGGGCGCCGCTGCCGCCGGCTGGCCTGGTCACGGCGCCCATGGGTAGGTGGGCCGCCCCACGGACCACACACACATACACACCACACGCACGTGCACGCGCGCGCGTGCGCGTGCCACACAGGCACCTCGCTCCGTGGTAATCCACTGACGCACTGAGTCTTCACGAGGATTGCGAACTGCCGTTGAGTTTCGAGCAGATCTGTTAAAAAAGACAGTATGCGGAGCGCCGTGGTGCATACCCCCGCCGGCCAGCTGGAAGCCGTTGATGACTCGGACTTGGCTTGCCGGTATGGGCTGGTCGAACTGCTGATGCAGGTGGATGGGCGCGTGTTGCAGTGACCCCGGTGGCGCTGGTCAACAAGTCGCCGGAGCTGATAGCGTACGCCAAGCGCGTGTTCGGCAACGTGGACCTGATGACTGATGACCAGTGGAGACAGTGTCAGGACCAGATGAAGGTGAGGCCGACGACACCAGCCCAATAAAGTCCGAATGTCACGGGCGTGTGAAGGTCACTGCGGGTATGCACAGTGTAAGTCATGGCCTCAGGCGCGTTGGTTGAAGCTAAACGTGACCTGCGTGGACAGCAGCGTCGCGGTGTCCACCTCCCAGCGCCGCCCGCTTGGCACTCGGACGGGTGTCTCCGCGCGAGACTCGCGCCGCGCGCCGTGGCACAGTCGCGTCGCGGACGGGAGGCCCTCAGCCCACGGCGGCTCGCCCGGTCGGTGACGCGAGACCCTCGGCCCCGGAGCTGGTCCGAGACGTGGCGTCCCCGGTCCGGGACGCGTGAGTCTCACCGCGGCGGCGCACCCGAGGCCGCCGGCGCCCCGCCGCCGGGCAGGACGGCGCCCGCGCCCTGTGGTGACGGCGCCCGTGCGCGGCCGGCAGATGAACGTGCTGCTGCAGGACATTCAGAAGAAGAAGGCGGAGGCCGAGCGGCTCGAGCGCAAGGGCAAGGTCAAGTACGACTACGACTCGGACGAGGAGACCGAAGGTGGCACCTGGGAGCACAAACGGTACGTGCTGGGGGTGGCCGGCCGAGCCGTGGCCACCGGACGCCGGACCGCAGGAGGTCTGGCCCGTGTCTGTACCGATGGGAGAAGCTGGTGTGTTGTCAGGTGTGCATGGCTTGAAATAGGCCAGGCATGGTGGACGAATGCGCAGCCCTGTCGCATAGAAGCGGATGGGGTTGAAAAGGGCTGGCACAGCACCTAGCTGGAACCAGTTCAGCCATTTGCTAATTGCACTGTTGTTGTTACATGTTGCATGCAGATGCTAGTTGCATGTGGTGCATCTGCTATAATTGGTGCACCAGTTAGTGTCTAGAATTATGGCCAAGGACAGGTGGCCATATGTTGGGTTTGTTACGATTTCTCGTACGGTAAGGTACGATTCTTCGTACAGCCAATCACGATGTTTTACCACCATGTGCTTGGATGATCATCGAGAAGTGAATACATATATTTAACAGGTTGCAAGTAAGCGTGTAAAGTAATGTGGATGATAAAATATGCCTCAAATAAATACGCGTTAGCTTGACAAAGTAATGCTGTATTTTTGGCACTGTGAGATGCATAAGCAGGTACGAAAGAAGACTCAACAACCTCACAATGCATTCAGTGATGCAAGAGCTACCCTGTGCATGCTTTTGCAAGCGTGCATGCATGCTTTTCCGACGTTGGATTCGAGTGGTGGGTGGAGGGAACCATTAACCTTCCTGGGTGACGGAAATATCTTCTTCTTTTTAAGTTTTACCGTGGGCTGGCATGGCACATTCGGTCGTGGCCTAACTATATGGTGGATCAGCCCATGCGTGTTGTAACAGTGGTTTTCAAACTTGTGCTACACAGCGTGTTCGCTTGTAGCTTGTACTTTTGCCATCTGCGGCCAACGGGTGGCTGCCGGCCGATCAAGCTCATCAACCTGCCTATTACAATTTTACTACTCAAGTCGCGTGTTGGAATCCAGACGCGCTCTTTCTGGTATTCTGATATTTCCGTCAGCCATACATCAGTTTAACCCCTTTTAGCAATGATGAATGCACCTCACTAATACTAACACTACTAACTGTAACTCTAGCTCTACCTACTAACCTCACTATCTTACTAACACTCACTCAATGTGCAATTTATTTTGCTCTCCCGTTTCTCTCCATCAGCGTAACACTCTTTCTGCGGGACTTCGTCTGCCAGTTTTTGCAACCAGCAGTTTTAGCGGGTGTTGCTAACCGTCGTTACACCGCGCTGTGCCAAGAGGTCGACACCCTGAAGCCCGCACTGTGGCGTCGCGATGAAGCTCGTCACGCGCGAGCGGGGCCCATTGGTGCGGTGGTGCAGCAGCCTGGTCGTGGCGAGGACCGGCGGGCCTCTTGAGCCTGAGGTGCTGGCTTGTGCTGCGCTGGCATCCCCCAGTATGAGATACGCGATTGTTTCATGTGAGCACGGATGTCCGCACAATGTGGCCGTTGTGGCCCTCTGACAATTTCCGTGCGCATGGGAAGTTGCTCCGTTTGAGAGTAGACCTTTGCTCACGGTTGCTGCAAGAGGAACGCTGTGGGACTCTGCGTCGTCGGATCATCTAAACGCGTCTATATGTTTGGCGTGGATACAGCGGCGTGTGGTGCGCCGGCACTCTGCGTTCGATGAAATGCCCGTGCCGTTTACACGTACCTGACTGTGTCCGGCAGGCGCCAGGCTGAGATGACCGAGACACACGCCAAGGCCGAGGAGCTGACCCAGATGAACGAGGGCAAGCACCACATCGGCGACTTCCTGCCGCCCGACGAGCTGGAGCGCTTCATGGAGAAATGGCGCGCGCTGAAGGAGGACCGCGAGCCCGACATGTCCGACTACCGCGAGTTCCGCATCAAGGAGGACAACATGGGCTTCCAGATGCTGAAGAAGATGGGCTGGACGGAGGGCTCTGGCCTGGGCTCGGACGGCAGCGGTATCACGGCACCCATCAGCCAGAAGCGCACGCTCGACCCGGCCGGCGTCGGCGCCAGCTCCCAGGCCGACGTCAGCAAGGAGGACGACGAGTTCGAGGCCTATCGCAAGCGCATGATGCTCGCCTACAAGTTCCGTCCCAACCCGCTCAACAACCCGCGGCGCGCGTACTACTGAGGGCGTGCGACCAATGCCCGGACATGCCTGGGCGGGACAACGAGGGCGGTGGCGCGCCGGCACCACGGGGCGACGCTCGCCGAGGGCTTTGGTACCGATTCAGATGGACCACCACAGCCGCCGGGGAAGGCGGTTGGAGGCGTCGAAATGTGGAACGGCAAGCCCGGCGGTACGGGGCGACGCCGAACGGGTGTCAGCGAGTCATTTCCGCGTGTGCTGGTCAGGACGTTCGCGCCCGATCCACTTTTAGCGCATCGGAACGCCGCCGTGTGGATTAATGGCGCGGTGTGTTGGGCACGTGAGTGTGTAATCGGGCGATGACACCCGCCAGACGGACGATCGCCAACTGACAGCCGCCTCCCCAAATGGGACGCAGCAGCGTTGCCGTCTTAAGGCAGGACGGGTTCGCCGCCACGATGCCGGCTGTATTTTGCGCATCGGAACCTTTCGCGTGTCATTCAGGCCGAAAGACGGCGTAAGCTGTCACATCTGTAGCACCGCGCGCGCCCTGTGGCAATACACTGGCGTGGGTCACCGGCGGCGTCTCTCAGCTTGGCTTGGTCAGGTGATACAGGTCGTATTCTTCCCGAGAGATGTCGCTGGGCGCGTCAGCCATCAGGTCCCGCCCGTCGGACGTCTTCGGAAAGGCTATGACGTCACGAATTGATTGCGCGCCGCACACCAGCGCCACCAAGCGATCCAATCCTGAAATAGGCGAGCAGTTGAAGATAATGACACGGATTGATACGCGCCAAAATCGTGGGGGGCCAGTGGAACAACCGGGTGACAAAACACCATGAAAATACGGAATGTCGTATCTGCGATAGCTTTTACGCATCTAAAGAGATGCAGTTCACGTACTAACTAATGGTTATAGAATGCGGACAGTCATTCATTCGTTTGGACGGAGCCAATCGGGAGCACTTCTGGGATCGCTTCAAGCTACAAAAGGCCGCCTCGCGGCATCGCACGGCGCGTTATCCTGGCATTCTGCGTGTTTTATCTTCGCAATCAAGCATCGACGCGCGGCTGGATGGCTACCCAGCAAACAACCATGACGCCACTTCAGTTTTCGGCCATTCTGGTGGAATGTTGGGGCGAACACACAGACATCAGCACCACGCTGTGCCTATTAGAACAATCAACCAAATCCTATAATCCTATTAGCACCTCGGCCGTCACATCCCCACATGTGACGCTCCATCATCCATCAGCTCCTTTGCCGGGTTCGTCCTGGAAGTACCTCCAGGAGCGGCGAGAGCGGCGCGGCTGGCAAGAGCCGCCAGGACATACCGAGCGCAATGCCTCCGTGCGGCGGGGCGCCGCTCGCCAGCGCGTCCAGCAGGTGCTGCAGCGGCGCGGTGTCCTCGCCAAGTACAGTTTCCAGAACGTGCCGCTGGAGGGCGGGCTCGTGAATGCGCATCGAGCCGCCGCCGATCTCCCAGCCATCCAGCACCAGGTCAAAGTGCTGACTGCGGGCCTGGGGAACACACGTTTCCGCTGGTGTGTCGCGGCCGTGTTATCGAAAGGGTGGCGACATGGGCGACCGCGCCAGCGCAAAACAGCAGCGGCATCCTTTGTTTGTAGCGACTTGTCCATCCATGACTATCATGCAGTGTGTGTAATGGGGACTTCCGTATCACTTGCACTTTATAAGTGAAGTCGACCAGACCGACATAATAACGCTGACTATAGGATTCCGTAATTGCCGATCACCTATGGGTACGGTAGTCTCTAAACACACCAGCATACATGCAGCAACTTCCAGAATTCCGAAGAATCGCCCGAACAACAGTGCTGGCTCATCCACCGAAGTACACGCCAGCACGCGCCCGGCCTTCTCCGCAGGCGGCGCTTGGCTGACCTCCGAGGGGTTGGAGTGCACCAGGTGCTCGTCCTCCTGGTGCGGCCTGGTGAACGGGTGGTGCGCCGACACCAGACGGCCCTCCTCCTCCACAAACAGCGGGAAGTCCACCACCCAGACCAAGTGGGGGCCGGCCCGGCGCACTGCCACCCCGCTCGCCTCCAGTCGGTCGGCCATCTGCACCCGCAGGCGACCAATGAGCGCGCGCGCCGCCTGGCGCGGCCCGGCGGCCACCAATAGCGCGTCGCCGGGCCGCGCGCCGACGGCCCGCCGTCAGCTGGGCGCAGGCGTCGGGGCGGAGCCGGCGCGCCAGCGGGCCAGTCAGCGCGCCGTCCGGCTGCACGTGCAGCGCCGAAGACTCCGCCCAGGCCGGCCCTGCGCCGCCATCCGGTCGTGCTGGGCGCGCAGCGAGCGGCTGAAGTGGCACTGCCCGGCCGGACGGCGGTTAGACGAGCTGAGTCGGCGACCGGACGGCGGTTAGACGAGCTGAGCCGGCGACCGGGAGGCGGGGGGACACGCGGAGGCTGAAGGCAGGATACAGTCTAGACGCCGACTGTGCCATTGAAGCGGCCCTCGAGTATCGAAAAATCGCTCCTAGGCCGCTATGAACAATCAACTGGCACATTTGCGGTTGCAAGTTAAGTACCTACAGACACAACTGCCTTCAGCGACGAGCCAGGCGTAGGCTGCGGCTGCAAGGCGCAAATGCAAACTAAACGCTTGCCGACGTCTGGAGACGTCTGGGGCCAGCCATCGGGCACGCGGACAGGCCACGACAAACGTCCGCGGCAGAGCACAGGTCATCGATGTGTGGGACTGGACACGACAGTGCGCAGCGCCCTCTAGAGCCTGGCCGGCGCTCTTCACGACGGCTGGCCGTGGCAGCGGGCCTAGCGAGACGCTGTTACTCCATACCGAAAAGAATATGTTCACTCACGCTGCCATCTGGCACGACCAGTGCGACGGCGGCGGCGCCTGGAGCGGCCAGCTCCCGCTCCAGCAGCTCCGAGCCACACGCCCTCAGCGTGCTCGTCACGTCCGCAGCTGACCAACACGGAACAGGAGTCACGCAGAGACAACTCCTGGACGCGCAACACTTGACGGGAGCGATATCCCCCGCGATGTGGGACCTAACACGTCAAACGAACAGCCCCACTAGCGGATGCTTGAAGTGGGTTGCGTGAAAACAATGGACATCATCCCTGACTAACTTTACACGCAGAGTCCCGTCGAGGAGCACACAACATCGGCTGCTGTGGATGTCGTATGCAGAACTAAGTCTTACATCCTGATGACTGAATGTGTTGTCAGTGTGGTTACCTTCCAGCCGAAGCGAAGGTCCGCTTGTCGGAGCCGTACTGCGCGATGGCCTGCGCGTGGTTATGCGAGGGAACGGGGTCCACCAGGTCACCGAGAGTGCCAACAGCGCCGGAGCAGCCCCTCCACCAGAGAGACTGGATTACCCAGCTGGGTGGTGAACCCAGCCTCAATATCCACCTGTACAGGGGGACATTGAGAGTCAGTCAGCACTGCAGCAGCCCCTCTACCAGAGACTGGATACCCAGCTGGGTGGTGAAACCCAGCTCAATATCCACCTGAAGGGGGACATTGAGTCAGTCAGCACCGCAGCAGCCCCTCTACCAGAGACTGGATACCCAGCTGGGTGGTGAAACCCAGCTCACTGTCCACCTGAAGGGAGACACTGAGAGTCAGTCAGCGCCGCAGCAGCCCCTCTACCAGAGACTGGATACCCAGCTGGGTGGTGAAACCCAGCTCAATGTTCACCTGAAGGGAGACACTGAGAGTCAGTCAGCACCGGCAACAACCATCTGCGAGGAAGTGCGCGCCGACAGGAGAGTCTAAATGACGTACTCGCTGTATAAAGCAAGGGCTTGTGTATATCACAGACATTTGCAACACAAATAAACAGGACTTTACAAAAACTCACAAACACAGTGCGATAAAATCACTAAAGTGCGCACTGCTGTGAGTCAGGAGTCACTCAGGCGGACTCGAACAGGGTCATGTCCCATCTGAGCTAGATATGGCTCGGGGTCGCACCTAACCCCATTACAAACCGATTCAAAGCACTCCAGCTCGAAGTCACGCCGTGCCGACCGTCAAGCTCTGAATCACGGTCCCACCTCACTTCCACAATCCCCCCCCCCCCCAAGGTCCCACCTCATCTCGGGAATTCCCCCCCCCCCCCAAGTCCATCTCACCCTCGATAAGTCCCGCCCGGGTCCCACCTCATTTCGGTAATTCCTCCCCAGGTCCAACTCATCTCGATAACTTCTCCCCCCAGATCCCACCTCACGTCGGTAACTCCCGCCCGAGTCCCACCTCACCTCGGTAACTCCGCCCGAGTCCCACCTCACCTCGGTAACTCCCGCCCGAGTCCCACCTCACCTCGGTAACTCCCGCCCGAGTCCCACCTCACCTCGGTAACTCCCGCCCGAGTCCCACCTCACCTCGGTAACTCCCGCCCGAGTCCCGCCTCACCTTGATAACTCACCCGGGTCCCGCCTCACGTCGGTAACTCCCGCCCGAGTCCCACCTCACCTCGGTAACCCGCCCGAGTCCCACCTCACCTCGGTAACTCCCGCCCGAGTCCCACCTCACCTCGGTAACTCCCGCCCGAGTCCCACCTCACCTCGGTAACTCCCGCCCGAGTCCCACCTCACCTCGGTAACTCCCGCCCGAGTCCCACCTCACCTCGGTAACTCCCGCCCGAGTCCCACCTCACCTCGGTAACTCCCGCCCGAGTCCCACCTCACCTCGGTAACTCCCGCCCGAGTCCCACCTCACCTCGGTAACTCCCGCCCGAGTCCCACCTCACCTCGGTAACTCCCGCCCGAGTCCCACCTCACCTCGGTAACTCCCGCCCGAGTCCCACCTCACCTCGGTAACTCCCGCCCGAGTCCCACCTCACCTCGGTAACTCCCGCCCGAGTCCCACCTCACCTTGATAACTCTCACCCGGGTCCCGCCTCACGTCGGTAACTCCCGCCCGAGTCCCACCTCACCTCGGTAACTCCCGCCCGAGTCCCACCTCACCTCGGTAACTCCCGCCCGAGTCCCACCTCACCTCGGTAACTCCCGCCCGAGTCTCACCTCACCTCGGTAACTCCCGCCCGAGTCCCACCTCACCTCGGTAACTCCCGCCCGAGTCCCACCTCACCTCGGTAACTCCCGCCCGAGTCCCACCTCACCTCGGTAACTCCCGCCCGAGTCCCACCTCACCTCGGTAACTCCCAACCAGGTCCCACTTCACCTCAATAACTCCCACCCGGCTTCCAACTCACCTGAGCCCCACGCGGCTCCCACTCCGTTCCACGTCCCAACTACTTTCCGTTCAGCTCCCACCCAGCCTGGGCAACCTCCCGCCCGCTTCTCACCTCATCTGGTTTAACCCTGGTCCGGCCGGGCGCCGCCTTACCTGTGTTAAACCCCGCCCGGGTCCCGCCTCACCTGTTTTTACCTCTGGCCCGGGCTCCGCCTCACCTGCGTAAACTC